CACGACCGGGCCTCTAGTCCTATATAATAAAAGGCTAATATGCAAATCGACCAAACAGGGGAACAACTGGTCGCTATGATGTGCACTGGCCACTAGGGGGCAGATGCTCAATGCAGGATCTGACCCCTGGTGGTCAGTGCACTCCCACAGAGGGAGCGCGCTCATCCAGAAGCCGGGCTCACAGCTGGCAAGTGCAGTGGTGGTTGCGGGAGCCTCTCCTGCCTCTAGGGCAGTTGGACATCCCCCAAGAGCTCCTGGACTGCGAGAGGGCGCAGGCTGGGCTGAGGGACACCCCCCCCCCCAAGTGCATGAATTTCGTGCACAGGGTCTCTAGTAATAAATAAGAGAGTATAATATTGCTATAGGTAAAGCTAAACAAAGATCGAGTGATCAAAAGAGCAGTGTATAAAAAATGTTATACATGCCAGAACCGGTTTGGCTCAGTGGATAGAGCGTCAGCCTGTGGACTCAAGGGTCCCAGGTTTGATTCCGGTCAAGGGCATGTACCTTGGTTGCGGGCACATCCCCAGTGTGCATGCAGGAGGCGGATGATTGGTGTTTCTCTTTCATCAATGTTTCTAACTCTCTATCCCTCTCCCTTCCTCTCTCTAGAAAATCAATAAAACATATTTTAAAAAAATGTTATACATGACAGATATGAAATTACTTTAGTGAGGAAAGACTAGACTAATTCAATAACTGGTTGTAGGTTCCTGAAGAACAGAATGACTGTCACTGCCCATGGACTGCAAGAAGTTACAAGAAAGCATGGAGAATAAGAGGAAAGGAAGTTAGGAGGGTATGAGGATGAGGAATGGAAATAGGAATTGTGATCTACTGACCACTAGTGGTAGGTGCTATGGACTGAAACCCTAATTCCCAATTGTGATAGTATTTGGAGATAGCCTTTGGGAGATAACTGGGTTTAGATGAAGTCATGAGGGTGAGAACCTCATCGTAGAATCAGTGCCCTTTAGGAAGAGACACCAGTGCTCTCTTTTTCTCCCTCTCCTCTCCCTCTCCCTCTGCCTGTCTCCCAGGTGAGGACACAGTGAGAAGGTGGCCATCTACAGGTCAGAAAAGCCCTCACCTGAACCTGACCATCCTGGTATCCTGATCTGCCTTTCAGCCTACAGAACTGTGAGAAAATAAATTTCTGTTCTTTAAGCCACCCAGTCTATAGTATTTTGTTATGACAGACCAAGCAGACTAAGACAATAGGCATTTTTATATATTACCTCATTTAATTTCCCAGTAACTGCATTTCTAATTATATAACCTAGGATTCAACTATCTAATAACTGCAAAGCCATTGGTTTTACCCTGCCATTGCCCCCTCCTACAGAGGACAAGAAGTTAGTTGCTCAGAAGATCCAGATACCAGGATTCTTGATTTTACCAATCAAAAATTCCAACCCTCCTCATCCTTCTACAATTTTGAATTTAAACGGTGTTGAAAGGCAATGATAGTTACTATCTTTACAAGCAAATTCCAGCTGACTCGAAAAGCAAAAATCCATTTAGTGTTGCATGGAGGACTTTAACTTTCTAGTCAAAACTGGATTTTTGACTATAAAGGAAAATACCATTTATTTCAGGAATCTGCAAAGTATCAAGAAGAAGACTCAAATTTTACATAAGGTAATTTATGACACTTTACACAAATATACAAACCACAAAAGAGATATTGTACAATATTCAGTAGCCCTGCTATAATGACAAAACTTTAAATATATGTAAGTGTAAGCCAAAAACTCTTCTCAGAAAAGTACATTTAAACAAAAAGTAATGGCTCTTTTATACACCAATAATGAATTCTCAGAAAGAGAAACTAAACAATCGCACTTACCATTGCAACAAAAAAATTAAGATACTTAGGAATAAACTTAACCAAAGAGGCAAAAGACCTGTACTCGGAAAACTATAGACATTGAAAAAAGAGATAGAAGAAGCTATAAAGAAGTGGAAGAATATACTGTGTTCATGGATTGGTAGAATCAACATCATTAAAATGTCCATATTACCCAAGGCAATCTACAGATTTAATGCAATCCCTATTAAAATACCAATGGCATATTTCACAGAGCTAGGGCAAATACTCCATAAATTATTTTTAGATCAAAAAAGACCCCGAATAGCTGCAGCAAATTTGAGAAGAAAAAAAACAAAGTTGGAGGAATCCAATACCAGATTTCAAGTTATACTACAAAGCCACTGTAATCAAAACAGCCTGGTACTGGCACAAGAACAGACATATAGATCAATGGAACAGAACAGAGAACCCAGAAATCGACCCAAGCCATTACGCTCAATTAATATTTGACAAAGGAGACAAGAGGATACAATGGAGTCAAAACAGTCTCTTCAATAAATGGTGTTGGGAAAATTGGACAGATACATGCAAAAAAAAAATGAAACTAGACCACCAACTTACACCATACACAATAATAAACTCAAAATGGATAAAAGACTTAAATGTAAGCTGTGAAACCATCAAAATCCTAGAAGAAACCGTTGGCAGCAAAATCTCAGACATCTCTTGTAGCAGTATATTTACAGATACATCTCCTAAGGCTAAGGAAACTAAGGAAAAAATAAACAAATGGAACTACATCAAAATAAAAAGCTTCTGCACAGCAAAAGAAACCATCAACAAAACGAAAAGAGAGCCCACTGTATGGGAGAACATATTTGGCAATGATACATTTGATATAGGATTAATATCCAAAATATATAAGGAACTCATACAACTTAACAAAAGTAAGACAAACAACCCAATTTAAAAATGGACAAAGGACCTAAATAGACACTTCTCCAAAGAGAACATACAAAAATTCTGTTTTTTTGTTATGGGGTGAGGCCACAACATTAGTAACAAAGAAACAGAATTTCTGGAGGATGAGGCCCAGAAATCAGGATTTTAAAAAGATTCCCAGGTGATTCTAATGTGCAGCCAAGGTTGAGAACCACTGCTTTAAGACAACCTGGAGGGACCTGGAGAGTATCATGCTAAGTGAAATAAGTCATTCAGAGAAAGATAAGTATCACATGATCGCACTCATATGTGGAATATAAGTAACAAAATAAACTGATGAAGAGAGTGGATCCAGAGACTTTGAAGCATGTAACAGAGTGCAGGATCTCAGAGGGAAGGTGTAGGAGGGTGGGTGGTTGGGAGGTAATCAGCCAAAGACCTTGTATGCATATATGCATAGCCCATGGACACAGACAATAGGGTGCATACATTCTTTCTGATTGGTGCGGGCTGGAAGGTATCAATGGGGGGAAAAGAGGGCCATATGTAATACTTTCAACAATAAAGAATTATAAAAATAAATAAATAATTTTTTTTAAAGTATTCTCAAAGGAAACTCAATTACTATGTCCCATTAAAAGCAACTGTAAGGTCTCACTGCATGGGAGAACATATTTGCCAATGTTATCTCTGATAAGGGTTTAATCTCCAAAATTTACAGGGAACTCATTCAACTTAACAAAAGGAAGATAAACAATCCAATCAAAAAATGGGCAAAGGACCTAAATAGACATTTTTCAAAAGAAGACATGCAAAAGGCCAAGAGACACATGAAAACATTCTCAAAGTCACTAATCATCTGACAGATGCAAATCAAAACGACAATGAGATACCATCTCACACCTGTCAGAATGGCTATCAACAACAAATCAACAAATGACAAGTGCTGGCGAGGATATGGAGAAAAGGGAACCCTCGTGCACTGCTGGTGGGAATGCAGACACTGTGGATAACAGCATGGAGTTTCCTCAAAAAGTTAAAAATGGAACTCCCATTTGACCCAGTAATCCCATTTCTAGGAATATATCCCAAGAAATCAGAAACACCAATCAGAAAGGACATATACACCCCTATGTTCATAGCAGCACAATTTACAATAGCTAAGATTTGGAAACAACCTAAATGCCCATCAGCATATGAGTGGATTTAAAAAGTATGGTACATCTACACAATGGAATACTATGCTTCTGTAAAAAAGAAGGAACTTTTACCATTTGCAACAGCATGGATGGATTTGGAGAGCATGATGCTTAGCGAAATAAGCCAGTTGGAGAAAGATAAATATCACATGATCTCATTCATTTGTGGATTATAATGAACAACATAAACTGATGAACAAAAACAGATCCAGAGACAAAGAAACACCAAATGGCCCTGACCAGTTTGGCTCAGTGGGTAGAGCGTCAGCCTGTGGACTGAAGGGCCCCAGGTTCGATTCTGGTCAAGGGCATGTACCTTGGTTGCAGGCACATCCCCAGTTGGGGGTGTGCAGAAGGCAGCTGATTGATGTTTCTCTCTCATCAATGTTTCTAAATCTCTATCCCTCTCCCTTCCTCTCTGTTAATAAACCAATAAAATATACTAAAAAAAGAAAGAAAAGAAACACCAAATGAACCATCAAACCTCAGACGGAAGGCAGGGGAGGGAAGGGAGGGAGGGGTAAGAGATCAACCAAAGGACTTGTATGCATGCATATTAGCATAACCAATGGATCCGGACACTGGGGCAGTGGGGGCTTGTCCTGGGGGGTGGGAGTGGCCGGGGCTGGGTCGATGGGGGGAAAAGGAGACATATGTAATACTTTAAACAATAAAAAAAAGAAATTTAAAAAGTAACTGTAAGGTAGTTATGGAAGAATTTGCATGTCATCATAACCTGTTGAAAAACTATTTTTAAAATATTATTTCACACCACTAACATGATACCACGAATTTGCTTCAAAAAAAACTGGGTAGAAGGGGACTGAGGTGGAGGAATGCAGAAATGGTAATGAGATAGCTCATGAGTTGATAACTGTTGAAGCTGAGTAAGGGCCATATGGGGGTTCATTATCCTATACTTTCTAATTCCATGTATATTTGACATTTTCTCTGGAAGAAAAGTTAAAGTTATTTATACACTCTTGATGAACAAATATAATCCTCATATCCTAAAAATTAAAGAAAGAAAAAAGAAAGATGAGTACCTTCCAATCTTTGAATTTTTGCTTTCACAGAAATAACAGCTTCCAATGGTGAAACTCTCAGTTCAAAACATGTCCCAGTCAATGTTTCAATGAAGAGCTCCATGGTATAGAAAAGAAGTTTGTAGTAAAATGGTCCCACATTATCTTCATTGAAGAATGGAGGATCTTTTCTGTTATCCATTACTTTGACTTTGTTAAATCCTTTGGAATATGTAGTAGGCAACTATATTCCAGTTCTAGCCAAATCAGCTTTGAACATTGGTAATATCTATCATTGTTCATGTTTTGACTTTAGTACCTAAAAAACAAGAATTTTTTAAGAAGCCTATCTGAACATCTCATTCCTCCATAAACATTTTCTGAACAACTATGGCCCAGTCTTCCAACGCCCCAGAATTCATTTTAAGTGCTTAATTTGTCTAATCCTAAACTTCTCACATTTCCCTCTGAAATCATTCCTCCACTCCATTAGACTATAAGATCATTTTTAAAATGTATATTTGCAATAATTTTCTGTGTCTTACTAGAGCTCAGCACAGTTACTTACAAATATTTTCTTATTAATAGGTATACATTTGCAGGACTTTGAAAAATTTATGCATATCCTTTTCTAAAATATGTAAATTATGTTTTCTAACCCATACAAAGCATAACTTCATAACCACTATACATTTGAATCACACTAAATAAAAGGAATAGCAATCATCTTAATAGTTTCCTTAAAAATAGGAATCACTAAATAATCAATAAGGATTTGGATTTACAGGTTATCTATCAGTAGAGCATTGAGATAGTTAATATTGGTAATGGACATTAAACATAATCTCTACACACAAACATACAATGACTAATAAATACGAGAGGCAAACATAACCAACAGAAGTAGTAAGATAAATGACCAGTGTATAATTAGAAGAATAGGAATAATCAAATAAATTGCTATTAATCAGCAAAAACTTTGTAAAGGAAGGGGGCCTTGAACTTAAACTAGAGAACAGATGATATACATCTTCCTGGAAAGGTAGGTAGATCTTATAAAAGCTTTCCCTAGATATAATTTATATCCCATAGGATTCACCTATTTAAAGCCTAAAACTTACTGGTTTATAGTATGTTCACAGAATTGTACAGCCATCAGCACAATCCTTGTTAGAACATATTCATCACCTAGGAAAGGAACTCAGTACTCTTTAGACATCACTACCAAATTCTCCTTTCCCTCTCAGCCCTAGGCAAGCACTAATCTACTTTCTGTTCCTATAATTTTGCCTATTCCAGACATTCACATAAGTAGAATAATACATATGTAATCTTTTGTGACTGGTTTCATACACTTAATGTTCTCAAAGTTCATCCATGTTTTAGGATGTATCAGTACTTCATTCTTTTTTTAATTAATGAATAAATATTGTTTGCCTAATCATCAGTAAATGGGCATTTTGGGTTGTGTCTAATTTTTGGTTCTTATGAATAATGCTATGAGAACATTCAATTACAAGTTTTTGTGTGGACATGTTTTCCTTTTTCTTCCATAGATATACCTAAGAGTGGGATTACTGGGTTATGTGATAACTCCACATTTAGTAATTTGTGGAACTATCAAACTGTTTTAAAAAGTTTTCAAGTTTTCAACCATTTTACATTCCCACCTACAATGAATGAGGATGCCGATTTCCCTACACCCTTGCCAATACTTTCATTGTATTTTTTACTAAAGCCATACTAGTTGGTATGAAGTAGTATCTCACTGTAGTTATGACTTGCCTTTCTTTAATAACTAATGATGTTAAGCATCATTTTATGTGCTTATTGGCCATTTGTATATCTTCTTCATAGAAATGTCTATTAAGAAAGTCTATTCAGATCCTTTGTCCATTTTTAACTGGGTTGTCTTTTTGTTATTGAGTTGTAAGGATTTTTTGTTTTCTAAATAGAAGTCTCTTAAATTTTAAGGGTTGTCTTTTAACTATCTTGATGGTTAAATAAAAATTTTTAATTTTAATAAAGTCCAATCTGGCTATTTTTCTTTTGCTGTTTGTGCTTTGGGTGTCATATTTTAAAAGCTTTGCCTAATCCAAGTAATAAAGTTTTATGTTACAGCTAACCCTTGAATAACACAGGTTTGAACTGTGCAGGTTTACTTATATGCAGGGAAATTTGTGACAATTTGAAAAACTCACAAATTGTGGTGCCTTGAAATATTGAAAAAAAAGTTTGGTATGTCATGAATGTAAAAAATATATGTAGAAACTAATTTATTTTGTAATTTACTGCCACAAAATATATACAAATCTATTACACAGTTAAAATTTATCAAAATTTAAGCACACAAACCAGACTATACACACCATTCAGTTGAGAGAAATAAAAACAAATGTAGCCAAAACCGGTTTGGCTCAGTGGATAGAGCGTCGGCCTGTGGACTGAAAGGTCCGGGGTTTGATTCCGGTCAAGGGCATGTACCTGAGTTGCGGGCACATCCCCAGTAGGAGATGTGCAGGAGGCAGCTGATCGATGTTTCTTTCTCATCGATGTTTCTAACTCTCTATCTCTCTCCCTTCCTCTCTGTAAGAAATCAATAAAATATATTTTTAAAAAAAAGAATAAAAACAAATGTAAATATATATTAAATCATAACTGCATAAAATTAACTGTAGTACATACTGTACTACTATAATTTTGTAGTTACCTCCTACTGCTATAAGTGGTGAGCTCGTGTTGTGAGAATCTGCTTAAAATACCACGATAGTAATCATCGCCATGTAAGCAGTTTGTCTCTCCAAAAAATTGCATATTGCAATTAAAAGTGATCTCTCAAGGATCTCATATATTTTTCATCATGGTCAGTATAATACCATAAACTTTGACTATCATCATAAGACCCAAACAAAGTGCCACTAGTGATTCTAGAAGTGCTCCCAAGAAGTAAAGTCATATTACAAGAAAAAGCTGAATTGCTGAAGTTGCTCACCATTTCAAGATAAATGAATCCAGTATAAGGACCCTTGTAAAAAAAGGGGGGGGTAGGGAATGAAATTTGTGAACCCACTGCTGCAGTTACACCAGCAGGCACAAAAACCTTGCACTTTTTGTGAAATACTTTTTGATCTTGTATTGAAAATGTAGCTTTTATGTTGGGGCAAGATAGCTACTAGAAAGACATACCTATAGACTCCATTCGAGAAAAAGCAAAGTCATTATATGACAACTTAAAGCAAAAGGAAGGTGAAGGATCTAAAGCTGGAGAATTTAATGGCAGGAAAGGATAGTTTGATAATTTTAGAAAGAGGTTTGATTTTTAAAATGTCAAGATAACAGGAGCTTCAGCTAACCAAGAAGCAGCAGACCAGTTCCCAGATGCCATTAAGAAAGTTATTGAGAAGAACAAAAAAGAAAATCAATGAAGAGAAAGGGTGTCTACGTCACAAGTTTTTAATGCAGACAAAGGTGTCCTATTCTAGGGAGGTGGGCCGAGGGGATGCCAAAAAAGACATTTATTAGTAGGGAAGAAAAACAAACACCAGGATTTAAGAAAGGAAGGGATAAGCTAACTCCACTGTTTTGTGCAAATGCAATAGCGTTTATCATCAGGACTGCCTTCTCTATAAAGCTGCTCACCCCTGAGCCTTGAAGGGAAAAGAGAAAAACCAGCTTCCAGTGTTTGGTTGTACACCAGACGGCCTGGATGAGAACCCTTTTTCTGGATAGGTTCTATCGATGCTTTCCCTGAAGAAAGTACCTTGCCAGTACGAGACTGCCTTTTAAAGTTCTTTTGATATTGGACAATGACTCCGACCACACAGACTTCAATAAGTTCAACATCAAAGGCATCAAAGTGGCCCAGCCAGTGTGGCTTAGTGGTTGAACATCGATCTATGAACCAGGAGGTCACGGGTCAATTCCCGGTCGGACACATACCTGGGTTGTGGGCTCAGTTCCCACTGTGGGGAGTGAAGGAGGCAGCTGATGGATGATTTTCTTTCATCAAAGATATTTCTCTCTCTCTCTCCCTCTCCCTTCCTCTCTGAAGTCAATTAAAAATATTTGTTAATATTTTAAAATAAAAAAAACTTTCAACAACGTTTTATGCTTTTTAGAGTACAAGTTTTGAATTTTTTTTAAAAAAATGTATTTATTCCGAAGAATTTTATCCTTTTTGAAACTATTGAAATAAAATTTAATTTCACTTTCAGATTGTTCACTGCTAGTGTACAGAAGTAAAATTGCTTTTAATATATTGATCGTGTACACTGCAACCTTCCTGAAAACATTTATTAGTTCTAAAAGAATTTTTAGTGAATTCCTTAGGGTTTTCTACATACACGATCATGTGATCTATAAATATAAATCTTTACTTCTTCCCTTCCAATTGATGGCTACTTCCTTTTCTTACCTAATTGCCCTAACAAGAATCTCCAACACAAAGTTGAAATAAATGGTGAGATGGTGACGGTAAAAAATAAATAAATAAATAAATACATACATACATACATACATACATAAAAGAAGCTAAGGGATGAGAGCAGACATTCTTGTCTCATTCCTGATTGTAGGGAGAAAGCACTCAGTCCTTCATCATAAGATATGATTTTAGGTATGGAATTTTCACAGATTACCTTTATCAGGTGTTTAGGTAATTGTTCTTTTCTAACTATGAGGTGTGTGAGATTTTGACAAGTGTTTTTCTTTCCAGTCTATTGAGATGATCATGTGGATTTTGTCTCTTATTCTATAACATAGTGTATTACATTGATGTTGAACAAACCTTGTATTCCTAGGATAAGTTCTATTTGTATATGGTGTAAAATCCTTTACATACAGAGGTAGGCTAAAGTAATTAATACAATAATAAATAAATAATACAAGAATAAATTCTGTATTTCACATACACCAACCAGTTCCATCTCTGCCCCTCCCACCAGTCTTCACCTGGCTGCTTTTTAAAAGAAAATCTTTAATATTATTTCAGATGTCCCTTTTTTTCCACCATTGCCCCCTTTCACCCAGTTCCTGCTCTGCCCTGGCCTTCACCACCCTGTTGTCTGTGTCCATAGATAATGCATATATGCATATAAAATCTTTGGTTAATCTCTTCCCGCTCTCCCCCAGCCCTCTTCCCTCTGAGATTCATCAGTAGGTTCCATGTTTCCATGGCTCTGATTCTATTTTATTCATCAGTTTATTTTGTTCATTAGATTTCTTGTTCCTTTTGTTTGATTTTTAGATATTTATTGCC